GCTAGGGGAAAATAAAAAAAATGTGGACTAAGGGCCACGATGACGAATGTTATTCACAAGTATCATATGATATAACCACTTGACACAAGTTCCGCTCTTAAAGAAAAAAAAAACTTAAGAAACATGGGTTTTTGTTTCGACTGCTCACCACCACTTTGTCATTTTTGACTAGAAAAACAGCCTTTTATTTTGAAAAGGCTCAAGCAGTCTCCATTTTGAAAAAAAAAAAGTCTTTAGGGGCGTGGCTACTCGAGACTAGATTCGGAGTTGGAGCTTAAAGGGATCAAGGGAAGAGCAGTGTTAAATTTCGTTGCTTTATGCTTTGATTAATCGTGACTACAGGATATTTTTCACGTCGGTAAAATGGGAAACTGTCACACTGTTGGACCAAATGAGGCTCTGGTGGTTTCAGGTAACCTAAAACATTTCTTGGACCACCGTCGTGTGTTTTTTAGCTGCTTCGCGCGCGTCTATTTCTCGCTAAGTAAACTCTGCTAGCTAAACTAATTTCTCGCATCCTTTGCTAACAGTATCCAGTARAGGTTTGATAAATGTAGCTGAACATTAGTTGTAATATCCCAAGAACCCTCAACTAGACTTATTTAACAAACAACAGCCCTCTTCCTTCCCCAAAGGCTATTTGGCAGACTAGCCTGTTTCCGATGAGTGTGATGTAATTGTAGTAAACACGCAATGRATGTACWGTAATATGTATTTTTACGCATATYGKTTTAYTATGCTTTTTCATGTAAAATTAAAAGCTTGTGCTTGGACATATTACACTATAGGGCTCCATAGAACAATTGTGTGTGTGTGTGTGTGTGTGTGTGTGTGTGTGTGTGTGTGTGTGTGTGTGTGTGTGTGTGTGTGTGTGTTTTCTTTCCCCTTGAATACAGATGAAAGATGTGATGTTGCTGTCTGTGCAGCAAAAGCAAATATGATTTAATTATAGAAGAGGGAGGAGACACAGTTCTGGGTCCTGGTCTGGTTACAGTGTGGACATTTCTATCAAAGTTGTGTTTACACACTTACATTTTGATTTATTTGAAATTTATTTTAAGGTTTTTCACTATAGATTGCATTGCATCCTTAAAAAAAATTCATTAGTATGTCCCACAGCTATTTTTCAGCACTAAATTTAAAGCTGACACGAACATATTAGTCCTCAGGTTTGGCTCCTCTGTGTTTTGTGTGTTGAAACTGTAGCTCAGTGTTTCCCAAAGTGGGGTCCCGAAACATCAAGGTGGGGTCCTGAAAAGATTTCCTGAATTAATTACATTTTTGCCTTATTTGTTACAAAAGAGTGAGGTTAGTGTATTTAAAATGGATAAATGAAGTATAAAAATATTGTTACTATGCCCATGTTTTGTTGACCTGATACAAATGTTTACAAGTCTCTGCTACTGTTATTTTGTGGGTCAAAAGCTGAAAAGTTTGGGAACCACTGCACTTTGGTTCCCAAAGTTGGGCTTGGGACCCAATTATGGGTCRTGAAGCACCTTGGATAATCTCCAGAAATCAATTTAAAGGGTAATAAAAWAATTGCTGATGTAATATTTTCCCTATAATTATTACAAAAACACAAAATAAGTAAAAATAAGTGTTTATATTTGTGTACAAGCTGTTTAGATTGTCCAAAATCCTGTGTTTTTGTAGGGTTATTTAAGAAGTTCATGTACTCAGACCAGTAATATTTGGGGTCACAAGTTTTTGCCATGGATATTTTGTGGGTCAGAAGACAAAAAGTTTGGGAACCACTGCTGTAGCTTGATTGAGTAAAAGCGATTTCTCCTTTCCTTTCTCCTTTTAATTGCGGCTTCCTGTTCAACATTAGTGATGACAAAGAAAACAAACAGCTGCATGTTCTCCCATTGTAAAAAAAAAACAAAACACCTGAGCGTCACTGAGACTAGAGTTAAAAGAGTGTTTAGATTTGCTGATCCTAAATCCAGGACCATGATGGAAAACATTTTTTAGACGGCTGAGAAACACTAATACATTTAACCTGATTGTCCTTTTTTAGAAAGACAAAATGTGACAGAATATCTTGTGATGTGTGTGATGTAAGTCACGATTGTGTAAATCTCTATTCATTTACAAAGAACCTCTCCCGTCCTTTGAGTGAAGACGTTYAGGAATTTCAGCTATGCTGGTGGCTAAAATAGTACATACCTAATGTATTTCTATAGGCGACGACCAGACTAGTCGGCAAAGGCATTTTATCAGGAGATGAATCAGTTTTAATTGTGAAAGCCTGTTTCACTCACATTCTTCAAKAACAATGAAAACTTAGCATTTCTTTAACCTCTTGAGCAAAACAGCATTTCCCGTTTTCTATATCTTTTAACTTTGCTCCAGTTAATTTTAGGAGCATGAATCTTTGCACAGGTAATGTCCACAAGTGGATTTATGGTTTCTAAGAGTTTTTAACCTGATTCATTACGGTTTTATGGGTTGGATATTGTCAAATGCAGCAATTATTCAGACGTGAGGGGGAAAAAACATGTTCCAGCCTCAATATCTCTAAAACCACAGCAGCGGTTTTTAATACTTACTCTTCTAATAAAATCTTCCAAGTGTTGGCTTTATTTTGATACCAAGATTATTTAAGTAAAGTTTGTAAAAGCTGAGATACACTCAGTTACATTTCAGCATGGTATTTCAGGAAAATCCCTTGGGGCTTTAACAGTGAAAGTCTGTATCGCTCACATTTTTCAATAACAATGAAAATAGCGTTTCTKTAAGAGAGCATGTTGTCTGTAAGTTATACAAGGATGAGAAATCATAGAGTTGTAGCCATCTTACTTAAACCTAAAAGTCTTATGTTGTTAGTAACTCTTAGCTAATACCACATCAAACTTTAGCTCAATATCTATAAAACTGACTTGTGTGTGACATTTTTCTGTTTGAAGTTGGTTCACTTTAGCGTCCATGTTGAATTAGATTGTTGTAGATGTACACACAGAGATTACTTTCTAAAAGGTTGAAGCCATAATAGCTGTCTACGTGCCGATTTCCCAATGTTTTTGATTTGAATATTTTCTTCTAACTGATGCAATTAAATGATTTTGGGGTCGAGGATGATCCCTGTTGAATTCAGTGTCTCGGGGTTGAAGGTGAACGTTACGGGTGAACCCTTTGTTACAACCTTGTCTATGCTCCTTCTTGACATCTCAGTAACCTTGAAATTACAAACCTTTTATTACCAAGATTGTCTCTCTGTCTGTCCAAGACAGATGGTTGTCTGTGGTAAAACTCCAGAATAATTTAGGATAGAAAATCTCACCAGACTCTGGCTTTACATTGGATCTTATTTTTTATTAAAGCTACTTCCAAAAGAAAATTTGAGTGTAATCATTAAATGTGCTGTAGTACTCTTGTTCGTTATTGATGGTACAAAAATAAACATTTTGAAATTGCGTGGAAATTCCAAGATTTTGGAAACACTACTTTGTCGAACCGAGACTTCTGTATTTGGGCAATAGTATTGCCCAACAAATACACTTTCTGAAGACATTAACTTGAACATGCTGGAGGTATGTTTGACCTGCCTTGGGTCTGTCCATTAACACGTGACAGCTGGGAATGTCGCTGCAAACTCCATGTGAAATTGTCTGACCGAGGCGAGTGGAGGGCACAGAGGGGTGGGATCAATATAAAAAAACAACATATTGATATACAGTAGTTACAAAAAAGTTTGTGGAGAGTTGTTTATTTCGAGTCACCTGATAAGGTTGATCATGTGGGTTTCTGATGAAAACCTGAGTTGGATGGGAAAATAGGTTAAACCTTGTGAGCTGTTACAGTCAGGTAAACCACAAGCTGCAAGACTTTTGGTTTGTGCTCGACAGGAATGGCTGCAGCATCAGTGTGACGAGAGATAAAAAGGAAAGTATAAATTCAGAACTCACCCCTTTTTCTGACTCTGTGGGAATTGTGGTTTTYAAGGTGTTGCTGTTCCTCATTTTAGTGCATGTATTTTTCCTTTTTTTTGATCAAAACTAAGTGTGTCGCCGCAGCTAGATGAACCTACTTACCAAAAGTCTGAACGCACCAAAAATGTCTTTTATTTATTTATTGTTTTTAAACTGAGAATCTCCGCGTGACGTCTGTTTATCGCCCACAGGTGGCTGCTGTGGATCAGATCAGAAGACGTATGTCGTCGGAGGATGGGCTTGGGCCTGGTGGCTCATTTCTGACATTCAGAGGTAAGATCTGTCTGCTGTGCCTTTAACTCCCAACACACTCAAATGTGCTCTTAATCAGGAAACCTTTAGGAACAACAGGAAATCTGCTGGTCTACTGTACACAAAAGACTTTCAGTCTTTCTAAAACAACAAAAAAAAAACTTTTCAAATCATTCGTTTCATCAGTCAGGAACTGGATTAACAGGGTTTTCTTTGTAAACATGAAATAAAAATTAAATGAAAACAAATTTAATATGTAGTCAGGTTAGTTTGAGCTAAAAAGGAGCAATCATTTTAACACTAAAGACAAAATAAATGTCTTCTTATTTCCTACTCATAAGTTATATTTTATAACAGAATCAGTTAAATCATTCTCATTTTTATCAAACAGCAAAACAAGTTTAAAATCATAAGTAAAATGTATGCCACATGCTAACCAGAGTTGTCTGAGTAAAAAGTAAAAAAGAAGACAGGGTGAAAAAACTATACATATTATCTGCTTTGATTTTTGCCTTTATTTGCATATAAAATCAGAGAAGTTAGTTTGCATGTGCAACTTGTTGCTGTGATGTCAGCTGTGCACACAGCTGGCTCTGAGCAGCAGGGAGAGGGAAATGGTTGAATCTGAGAAAACACTATCCACTGTAATAAAACAAWTTTTTTTCAAGAGATCAGACTGGAGCCCGTTGGCCTGTTCCAGTTCAAGTTTTAAGTCCCGCCCCCTCCATATAAATTACCAGAACATTGTTAAAAAATAATATATACCTCAGGTAATAGTTTCAGGTATCAACTATTGTTGTGTAGTTCTTAATTTGCAGCTGAATGCTCTTTTTTATTTTCCCAGTTTGTTTAGCTGTAATTGGTTACATTTCATAATTTATTAGGTGAGACTTACAAAACGCCCCACATCCCTGGTGTCGGGTTATAAAAATACGTTATGGAAGAATCTGTAATCAAGATCTAGGTGCTTCGGTTGTTAACAAAACAAGACAGGAAAGTTTACTTCTAGCTTTTTTGATGAGCAAGAGAAAACACACTGTGGTCAGCGGTATAAGAGAAGTGGGCGACTGAATGGAGAGRGACAGGATTTCTAACTCACCATTAGACTATATTTAAAAGAAAAATACTGTGGCAAAAAATGTATAGTTTTTTATTCATTGTATTTCTCATTAACTTGAAAAAAGAGGGAATATTTATGCAGTTTTAGTAATATTTGTGTATTTCAAAATAAAATGATAAACCCAAAATCATTAATAAAGTAATTCGGCTAACAATTTTTCTTGCTAAAATGATGACAGACATGTAAATCACGTAGTTCTGTCTGATGGAGGTCCACATGATTACAATGTGCGAATAAAATGTTAACCTTTTGTTCTAGATACCTGAAAAGTAAAATGTTTTGGACACAAGGATGAGCCACGTTAATTACACATAAACATAGTTGATGTTTGTATCAGTTTAAATGGTTAATGGTTACCAAACAGTTTGCTCTAATCATCTTTTATTCCCTGTGTTTGAAGTATGCAAGTTGACCAAAACTAAACTTGGGAATGGAAAACAGTTTTAAAGATTTCATTTAAGAGACACAAAAAATGTCAATAATTGGAAAATATTTGATAATAAATTTGTTCATCTGAGTAAAAAATCAGTTAAAAATTAGATTTTAATTTAGTTTAATCTGCTTTTTCCTACGCTTCAACCATTTTTAAGCTACAAAAGTAAAATGCTTTTCATGCATTCCTGTAAAACAGTAAAGTTAGGGCACTGAGTGAAGAGTTGGAAACTGTTTCAGTGGAAATACAAAACTCTGGGCTTAAGATTTTTTTATATTTATTTGCAGCAGAGTAGTTTAAATTGTAAGGGAAGTATCTTCTTGTTTTGTATGGTTAAAAATCCTCTGAGCTTCAGAAGCAGCCGGTGTTTATATTTTTCCTGCTGCTGTTTCTGCATTTCTATCCTGCTTTGCTTTATCTTTTATTGATCTCAGTTTCTAGAAAAGCTCCACCAGGTTTAATGTTTCTCCTATTGTCTGCTGCTCCGTGTCTTTAGTTGCTAGGAAACTTAACGACAGGCCTCAGAAAACAGAAAAGTGGATGCATGAGTGAATTTATTTACATTTAGAGGCAGACCGTTCCAGAGATCCCAGCTTGTTTGTGCATGTCACCATTTTGTCCACATGTAGTTAGGAAACCATTTCAGCTTCCTCCAAAACTGATGAGGGGATGTTCTTCTCAGACAAATGATGGAGCCTCCTAAAAGCCCTGTTGGCATGAGCCGTAATTGATGGTGTTCTAAAAATGGTGGGGGTTAACTTCCTGTTCGTGACGCAGTAATCATCTTAATGTTCGAGCCTCTGGCTCATTGATCCAGCTTCTCTGGTCTGGAAGTAAAGGAGATGTGGCTGGTAAACGGAGAGCCATTTTTTTCCTCAAGTAATGTTTGACCCGTCTTGTTGCTCCGACAAAAAGAATTTAAGGCTACGTTCACGCTGCAGGCAAATGCGACCCAAATCTGGATGTTTTATGTGACTCGTATCGGGTTTTTTAATGACCTGAATGTGACAAATCCAACCCAGGCCTTTTCAGTGAACTCTACTAAATCAGATTCATAACTGATGTTCAAAGTGACTGCAGTCTGAACGCTCATTTCATCTGAGGTGGGCGGCGCAATCCAGTTATAATATTGACACCAACCTTGTGTTTAAATCTTGTAACTCCGCGTGTCATCAGCTACAGAACAGAAGTCCATTTGCTTCATCCTTGTTCTTTTAAATTTGTCATGTCCTGGATGAGAATCCACAGATATGAGTGTAACAGGATCTGACCGTTGCTGGATCGATGCTTTAGTTATACTTCCAGCAAGTCGCTCTCATTCCAAATATAAAATGCTGCACCAGAGCAGCTGGCAAGAGGCATGTTCAAATGTAAACGGTGAACTAAACAAGCAGGTCGGTTCTGATTGCACAACTTCAGAATCGACATGCTAACATGTAGCATCCGTGTTTAGTTAAGTAAATGAAGACCCAAATGTCACGTCGCATCATTTTCTGCACATGTGGGTCACATCAGTGCTGTGGAAAATCTGATTTGTACAAAAAAATCAGAATTGAGCATTAAGACCTTCAGTGTGAACGTAGCCTGAATCGGTGTCGACAAAAAAAGAGAGCTCTGTCTCTCATGGTTGTTTTGAAAGTGCATCATACAATCACCCACATGGACAAGGATTTAAGCCAGAAGTGATTATGATCTCTGCCAACACTGACTCAGACATTTATTTGGGAGTTTTGCTGATCTTTATCAGGTAATAAAACATGAATCAAAAGACAGAATCTGCAACAGCGAAAATGGACTGGACATTTTTTTTTTGCCTCCTTTTTTTTTTCTCTCTTCTACTTAACCTTGGTTACTGACCMACCTAACAGCTGTTGTCCACTTTACTGTTTTGCCTGTGCTATTCCTGCTGCCTGCCTGTCTGCGTAGAATGTCTCTGGAGGTTATGACCATCCTCTGTCGCTGTGAGAATATCGAAACCTCGGAGGGTGTTCCCCTGGATGTGACAGGGGTGGCTCAGGTAATGCACTCATAAAGATGCAGAACGAAAAACAAAATGTCGCTGGTGCTTGCGGACAAWAGAATGCAAAAGAAGATGGCGCCACTAACAAACTAACCAACCAATTTGTGTTTTTGGCAGCAAGATGGTTAAAAACATTCAAAGTTCAGTGCCAATGAAGTATAAGCTGCATTTCTCAATAAGCCTGAATAACGTTTAAATTCAGGATTGCGTCTCATGTTTCTCCACTGCTTGTGACCTGGAGTCCTTGGGTGAATGGTTTCACTTTCTTTTTTTTTTTTGCTGTGTTGTGTTTTGTTCTTTCTTTCTCGTGATCTGTTCCTTCCCTTCATTTGCTTTCCCTTTGAACATGTCAATTTTTATTTTATATTTTTTCCACATTCTTCACAGGATAACGCTTGAGATTATGACCCTGCAGCCCAAGTGTGAGGATGTAGAAACAGCGGAGGGTGTAGCTATTACGGTCACTGGGGTGGCTCAGGTAAATCACCACACTTTTCTGGGAATGCCGGTTCAGACTCAATTAACCCCTTTATTCTCCCTCTACCTTCTTTTCTCTGGCATCAGCCCGTAATCACAGCAGAGGTAGTGTTTTATACATTCAATGAGGCTCAAGATGCACACATCGATGTTGGACCTAACTGTGACACACAATGACGTCATTACCTTCATATCTGGGCAGGAGACACCAAATGCACCAGTCAAGCTGCAACTAGTTGTTTGTTTCAGGGCTTTCTCCTTTTATCCAAAAGTCAAATAATTAAATGTTTGAAAAGTTTAAATCTAAATGTTAAATTTTTAGGATGTTTTTTAGTCTCAAAAGTCTGACACTGTTTAACTGAGAATAAATTATCTAAGACTTGTGTTCGATTTTAGGGTCATAGATGGCAAAAAGTATATATTTTAATGTGAAAAACAGCCTGATGTACAGGGTGAATCAAAAGTCACAGGACACCCTTTTATTTCAGGAACAAAAGGGAAAAGAAATATGAATACCTCAGCAACAGGTGAGGGGACTCATCTTTCAGGCTGTGTTCAGAACATAATCGAYATCTTTAAAGCCGCCTAATTGGATCCCTGATGCAAATACTCTGTTCAGCACCAGGGACAGCAGATTGAACATGTCAAATAACAAGCAATGTTAGTTTTTAAATTTCTGTGTTTCTTTGTTGTTTAATTTGTTCTTTTTTAGACTGACTTGTGTTTTGTTGGCTGTCCTGTAGGCCATCAAAACCAGAAAATGTAGACTGCATCTGAATATCCTATGTGGTCAACAATATCCCATGATTCATTGTGGTCTATGTGGGTTGCAAGTGAATTAGGACATAGCTACTGCCTAAAAGAGACACCCTCCCTCACCCGTTACTTGCTGGGGTATTCAGATACTTCCTTTTCCCTTTCGTTTGTGAAATAAAAAGGGTGTCCTGAAACTTTTGACTCACCCTGTAGTTTTCCATCACATTGTATTTTAAGGTTTGACATTGCTCCACAGTACTGATGCTAGGTTTACTATCAACACAACGACACCCTTTGTTGTTATTTAAAGTTGTTTGAAAATCAAACACCGTGAACACACGTAAGCATGAGTAAGAATTCAGAGGTTTAAATCTGTGGCACCCAAAAACCTTTTAATGTAGAGATAAAAAATATTTAGTTTAAAATGTTTCATCCAGATGTTTAAACACAAATTCATTAACTTGTGTAAGGTTTGAAGTAAAAAAAAAAGTTAAAAATATTCAAGACAAACGTCTTGTCATTTTGGTGTTATTCCTATTTAGGTATGTGGCATTATGGGTAATGTAGTTGAGTCTAGATCCAGTTGAGAAAATTGACTAGACAGATGTGAATAAATTATTAATCATCACCCATTAAGTGTTCATTTAGTTCAGGTTCATGACTGTGATTTTAGGTGTTTTCACCATGTTTGGTGTTTTAAATGTGAGGGTAGATACGTGAAAACATACCGCAACTACTGGCTACAGCACACTACAGTTGTGAGGTGTCGTTATTGTGGAAAGTGTGTAAGTGAAATTTATTGATTTGCTGGAGGGTGCTGCTGTTTTTGAGTGTGCAGAGCTGATCTGAGATAAATATTACCTTAGGAGGGGTCAGCTCAGCTGTTGTGACAACGTTGAGTTTTTTGTCACCTCCTTATTTAGTGTCTGCAAAATAAATGTAATGCAGGAACACATGCCTCATTCTGACCATTTTTTTGGAGAAACTGAAACGTGAGTGAACTTTACCRTATAATAGAAAATCACCATCTTTCTACATCAAAAATGCAGAAACAAACGAACCGATCTGGTTTCCTTATACTGGAATCAAACTTAAGATCAATATCTGGCTACAGACATCTGTTTTGACCAACCTGAAGTTTGTGGCTCCAGTTGTGAGCTAGTTTGACTGTAAGCGTTATTTTTACACATTCCTGAGAGCTTTGTCATTACATCACTGGAAACATCTGTTTACTTGTGATCTTTGAGCCCATTTTTGTTGTAATACAGAAGAGTTATTTGTTTACTGCAATCAGTATTTTAATTACCACAAATAGTTTGAAGCTCCCACAATACAAAGAAACTGTTCAAGATCAGGCTCTGAACCAACTCTAGTGGTACTTAARCTGAACGAGGAACAGGATACTAAGTGTTCAGTAGTTTAGTTATTGTACCAAAGCCAGTTACAGAAAGCTAAAATAACAGCAACTTCGTTGCATTTTTGTGCCAAGTATAAACAATATTCATGTGTTTTAGTATCAAACTGAACCCTGGCTTTATACAACTCACATTTATCTCTTGACTTGTAGAAATACTCTATGTTCTGATGGATTAATTTAAATACAAATCAATTTTATTACAAATTTAACACATAAACCTATTTTTTCTGTAAGAACTTATAATTGCAGTGCTTGTTGCATTTCCATTTCAAATAATATCCTTCTCCTTGTCCCGTCCCCCCCTCCTCCCTTCTGTCTGCATGTCTGAATCAATTATCACTTCTCCAATTTGGCTACAGCCATGTCGATGTTCCTCTGTGCTTCTTTCTAAATGTGTGCTGACAATGAGCCCACTGTCTGGAGCTGAACAACCCCTCACGCTCTCACAGTTTACTCCTCACAGAGGCTCATGGKTGTCACTGTTTGATTGGGCCAACCTAAACCCATTATGGGTTTTTCATAGTAACAAGGGTTTAATGTTCCTCCTGAGTTAAAGAAACGGACATGTTCAGACTTGAGTGGAGGAACCCAGGAGTGTCGTTTAAAAAGAACAAAACAAACATGAGCAGAAACACATAATCTATGTAACCAACTGGTTAATTGTCAGAGAGAATAATCTCTTTATTTCTTAAGTCTTTTATTGATTATATATGTCTATTGGGAGTAAAAACTACTCTTCTGAAGTACCAGATAAATTAAACACTAAAAATTATCAAATGTTGATAGAGACCATGATCATTGAGGAAGAAGGGGTGGCTTCACACAACGGATGGGAGGGACCAAGATTTGTGGTCAGCAGATCCTGCACCTCCTCACAAATCCTGTTATAGTGCTGAGTCACGGCACAGCGCCCCCTGCTGTCTGTCTGAGCGGCATGTTTGTGTGTTGTGACCGGCTTGCGGCCCGTTTTCCTTTTCAGACAGTTTCCCTGGAATGAAGAGCATATCTCCTGACTTTGTTGTAGCCCCTTGTTGTCTGGTATGAGTGCATGTTTTAACACCTGATCATGTGCAGACCTCTCACCTAAGGACTCAGCTCACTGTGTTTTTATTTTCCCACAGCTCCTGTGGACTACATTATTTGCCAAAACCTTCCTAATCCTTATAATTTTTATTACTTTAAAGTGAGMTGTTTTRCAGTTACCGGCTCCCTTTSATTCTGTGAATTGCAGTTCACTGATTTTGTATTTTATGGTAGTTTTGCTTTTTGTTTTACATCTGAAACTTTTAGCACAAAAAGTAAGGACATTTGTGTTTGGTAGAATGCTTGCTTCTCGGCAATAAAACTGATAGCGGACAGCTGATTGGCAGCACGTCAGTAACGACAGAATAAGCTGTTTGGGCAGAAGATTTGGCTAAATTTTCATGTGTGCAAACCACATACTCAGCTCGAAATAATTTACCAAACACAAACTTCCTTACATTTTGTGCCAAGCATATATTGTAGTCAAAGATTTATACGTGCAGTTTATTTATTGCTTAAATATGAAACAAAACAGAGGTTATTTTATTGCATTTACTTGGTTACACCAGAGGTTTTATTAACGTGTACAGTACATTATTTGCAAACCAAAAAAAAGTTGATTTAAAGTAAAATTAGGTCTCTGCTGATTCCCAGTGTAAAGTTTAATAAAGGCCAAAAATGACTCGTAAAACATTTTTCAGTTCTGCAAAGGTGTTGAACAGAAAATATTGTAAAGCCTCATGTTTTATCAGAAAAGAAAAAAATCACTGAGAGGAAACATTGATCATGGAGTTTGGCCTGAAGAGAAACCCCTAACTGGACCTTAACTGGTAATACATCTGACTGTTTAAAGCTCCTGCAGCTTCAGTAAAGGATCATGCATTATATGATCCTCATTATACGAAGCAGCGCTGAGCCCAGCTGTGAAGCTGCTGTTTCATTATATATTTTTTAATTTAGTAAAAACTCATTCTTCACACCTCTGTTCTTTACGCTGTGCATCCTGTTTGTTTTAACACAAAGCCCTCTGATGTAAAGATGAGAARGGAATACCAGTGTTTGTCTGGAGGTAGCACAGAAGCTGATGTTTTTTTTTCACGTGTGCCACAGCTGTGTTTGTGTGTTCAGCTGATCTGTGTCCGTGCCGGCATTAGGTGAAGGTGATGGTGGACGATGAACTGCTGGGCTACGCCTGTGAACAGTTCCTGGGCAAGTCGGTGACGGAGATCAAGAGCGTCATCCTGCAAACGCTCGAGGGTCACCTGCGTGCCATTCTTGGTGAGTGGCTTCTTCTTATGCTGCTGATGGCTTACAACGTGTGTTTGCTTTCTATATGTTGTAAAACACAACTACATCTGATAAAACAAGAAACATGACAAATGCTTTCCATGTTTTTAAATACTGAAAACACCAAACATGATGCTGGCATGAGTTCTTACAGTGCACTGCTCGTGAAGTAGGTCATGTGGTTCTTTAACTCCTCAGAGCTCACTGAACTGCATGTTTTAGATTTATCCTGCTTTAAAGTAATGGATTTAACCATTGTCTTCTATTAATGTAGAAGTGTGTTAATAACCCATCAGTTTAAATCAGGTCTGTTAATGCAGAAAATGTCTGAAACATTCAGATCTTTGGACAGGGATTGATTCAGCTTCCTGTTTTTCCTGAGTGCCTCTGCTCCAGCTGACAGATCAGTGTTCGGATGTACTCTTACCTCACTTTAAACAAAGCTWTGTCTAAGAGTAATTTGATTGTCACATTCCTTTTTCTTTGTGCACAATATTATAAAACGGTGCAAGGGAGTCTCAAGGTGGATCAACATCAGTGAGTTAACGTGACCTTTGATCCGTCGGGTTGAAAGACTGTAGCATCAACAACGGCTTCAGCGTGCCTTCAAAAAAAAAAAAAATAATAATACTCCACACAGTCTGCCACTGCTCCCAAAATCTACTGAACTAAAACTGTATTTCCTGTTTTACTCAAGAAAAACTCCTAAATAAAACTCTGTGCAGAAAGAACTCGTATTCTGTGGTCAGATGAGTGTTTTCATGTAAACTACCTGGGTGGTTGCTGCTTGACTGCGCTGCTGTAAATGAAGTCACGAGTCCCTCCAGAAGCTGACTGTGAAGGTGACAACGCTAATTACTCCCCTTGTCTTTCAGGAACCCTCACCGTTGAACAGATTTACCAGGACAGAGACAAGTTTGCCACTTTAGTGCGAGAGGTGGCAGCTCCTGATGTTGGCCGTATGGGAATCGAGATCCTTAGCTTCACCATTAAAGTACACTTTATATTGATTTGATTTTTTTCTAATCCAACTTGAGTGTTTTTATAGATCACTAATCTGTACGTCTGTTTGTTCCCCCCCKGACAGGATGTTTATGATAAAGTGGAGTACCTGAGCTCCCTGGGTAAAACTCAGACCGCTGCTGTCCAGAGGGATGCAGACATYGGCGTGGCCGAGGCAGAGAGGGATGCTGGCATCAGGGTAAGAAGAGCTGCAAGCTTTTATCTAATAAAGAGTCCAGAGGTCACAATCTGTCTCCATGGTTTCTGCTCTCTGCAGGAAGCCGAGTGTAAGAAGGAAATGATGGACGTCAAGTTTGTCGCAGACACAAAAATGGCCTACTCAAAACGAGAGCTAGAGATGCAAAAAGCCTCCTTCAACCAGGAAGTCAACACAAAGGTATCCAGTTTGGTACATTTTATTCTATGTGATGAAAATGAAAAAGTACAGCTGGGTTTTAAAAAAGAGAACGTGACAAATGTAGAAAGCAGAGGCTCAGCTGGCGTACGAGCTGCAGGCGGCCAAAGAGCAGCAGAAGATCCGTCTGGAGGAGATTGAGATCGAGGTGGTGCAGAGGAAGAAGCAGATCCTGATYGAAGAGAAGGAGATTGACCGTACCGAGAAGGAGCTCATCGCCACAGTGAAACGACCCGCTGAGGCCGAGGCCTACAGGATGCAGCAGGTGGCTGAGGGACAGAAGTGAGTACATCTCTGTTTACTAGATCCTGAATGAATCATTTTGTCCCACAGGATCACTTCTGTAGCACTGCCAGCTAATAGCAGAACAATTTTTTGACAACTGTAAACAGACCAATTGGCTTTCTCCTAAATTAGGTTTTGCCTACTGCTAACAGCTAATTAACAAGCTAACATCAACAGATTTGTGTCCGTCCCACCAGCCTTGAGCTGGAAGGAGACAAAGATGTGTGACGTGGACAGTCCTCTTAGCAGTTTATGATTAGCTGCTAGTATTAGCTTCTGCTCATGTTTACTTGTTTACATGTTTAGCTTTAGCAAAGCTAATGTTTTGGTTAGCTGTATTCACCACTGTGTTGCAACAATAAAAAGAAAACAGAGAAAAGAGGAACTCAAGTAAAGCTTCAAAACACATTACTGAAATATGTTCCTGACTGAATAAGTTCATTTCATTTATTTTCATTCATTTCACAGAAATATAAGTATTAATCCTAAATACACCGACTTTTATTTGCTAAACCTACGCCGCTGTGCTGTGCCTCATTCCAGGACTAAGAAAGTGCTAACAGCGCAGGCAGAAGCTGAGAAGATCCGCTGTATCGGTGAAGCTGAGGCTGCCTCCATTGAAGCGGTGGGAAAAGCCGAGGCTGAGAAGATGAGGCTGAAGGCTGAAGCCTACCAGCAGTACGGAGAGGCAGCCAAGACCGCCCTGGTCCTGGAGGCTCTACCCAAGGTCTGTGTTCACATGAACTGTCAGGGAAAAAAGGAGGATGTTTGTGTTTGTTATTGCTTSTCTTTCCTTCTTTATTGAGCTGTTTTCCTGTTAATATAATCAGTTCAGAATAGTATAAAATAATGCAGACAGTGTTAAGGGTAGAGCTGTCTTTCTGTTACAGCTGCTTTTATTACAGGGTTTTCAGTGAGGGTTTCATTGACTGACCAATGAGCAAAGTATGCTACACACTGCAGTTAGCTACCACTTTCAACATTATTTTAATTGTCAAACTTTCCAATTTTATATATCACTTGACAAAGTGATTACTAAAAAAAAGGCAGCTGTATCGGGAGTTTGTTGGCACCAGAGTGAAGTTGTCCAGTAAGTTTTTCCTCATAAAATCTTATCTTGGTGTGTGTTCGTTTTTCAATATCATTAGCATCGCGAGATTTGTTTAGTTTCCACGTATGTAATGCGCATCATTCTTCTTTTCTTTTTTTTGCGAACCACCAATAATCTTTAGAAGAAGAAATCAAATTTCTTGAAGACAATCGACCCATCGATCACTCRCTGTGTGTTTCAGATCGCCAGTAAAGTGGCCGCTCCGCTGTCTAAGACCAACGAGATCGTCATCCTGAGCGGTGAAGGCAGCCGTGTGACCGGAGAGGTGACCCGTCTGCTGGCCGAACTCCCCGTCTCTATCAACGCCCTGACCGGCGTGGATCTGACCAAGGTCAGGGTAACGCTGGTGGAAGTTCCTCTAAAAAGCCTGTTTTGTGAATTTTAATCACCTGTGTTTATTTCCAGTTCTTTTAATTTCAGGTTAAAGAGGATGATGGTCAAATGTTTCTTTTCTGTCTTTTTGTTTCTGACCCTGCAGATCCCCCTGCTGCAGAAGATGACCAGCCCACAGTGCCAAGCAGCCATGTGATGGAAGAAACAAGCGGACCCGGCTCTCGGCTCTGCCTCAAAGCATGAAGAGATTTTCCAAACGGAGAGCTTTTTGTGAAACTGCCTTTTAACCAGAAACTCTTGATATCAACCTTGAGATTGTTGTTTTGTTCTGTTTTGTTTGTCTATTTTTTTAAAAAGAAGTTTTTAATTTTTTTAAAGAAAAAAGAAACGGGCCCGGACTGAACACGTCCTTGTTTTTGTTCAGTTGGTCCTCGCCGTGTTGCACTAGTTGGCAAGATTCGGTCCTGCGGGTCTTAGAAGAAACCCAGCTGGGTGTCGTACCCCTCTCTGATTGGATCTGTTTGTCGGGCGTTCTGACATTTATTCACAGCAAACTTCCAACTTCTTGTCCAAGAACCCAATTGGCAAAGTAGCTTACAGGAAACCAAGCATTTCTTTGTGTTTAGCTGAAAACTGGGTTCCTAAAATTAGTTAGACATTTATAGCTTCATATATTTTATTATATCCTCCTCTTTCAGTATATTCTTAACGCTGTGTTATAGTGGTGACCTCGCAGTAGACCGTCCTGTTGCCTGTCTTGTTCTAACGTTCAGTGCCTGATAACGAGTCCAAACCTTCGTTCAGTTGGATTTCTGTCTGAATATATCTGTGTTCTGGCTGGATGATGTTTTAGTGGTTCTTTAATCATCACTTGTGCTTTCAGTGCTGGTTTTATAGCAGCGCTGCTGTTTATTCTTCTCTTTTGTCACGTGTTTACCGTTAAGTAAACACAAAGCCATGTATAGCCTTAAAGGAGACCCTGGAGCTCTGCCAGGGCTGCCGAACCTTTCTGTATTACCTCAAACAGCAACTGCTAGACTGTCAGGGTCTGAAATCATTTTGTTCATTCCTGCATCCTGTTAGTCCTCCTGTCTGTCAGGACGTGTCCCGCGTTTTTCAAAACCTTTTTTTTTTTATATTGTAACATCAGAAGGAGTTAACATCCGAAATCATCTAAGGTGCTGCACGTCTGACTTCTCTYGGTTTGTGTCCCCGGAGCAGAAGTTCAGGGTTTGGTTGGACAACAAGCACGTTGGTGAGTCTGAGCTCAGCTGGTTTTCAGTTTGATGGATGGGATGTGAAGCAGGTGCGCAGCATGGAGATAAATCAGTCGCAAAAGCAGTCACACAAAATAAAGATACTCACAAGATTCAGTTTTTTTTAATGTGCACAAGTAGGAATATTCTGCACAGATTGTTAAATACCTGCTGAGGACGGATCTTGTCTGAGAATTTAACTTTCAAGCTTTTTTGTTTACCACTGATTCACAAATGTAATGCTGCGTTCAAGGCCTGCTGAAAAGCTGGGACATCTGATCACAGCAAACCTCCAGCTTCAGGAACTTATAACCAGTAGATTAAAACACGCTTGCGTTGATGTTACTGGAGTGGAAAAAGTGTACATTTAAAAAACTGTTCATGCATTTGTGAATCTTTAACTCTTGTACAAATATGTGACTAATTTCTCTCCGTAGAACAGGCTGGGTCAATGTGCAGCAAACAGTTTTATAAAAGTATTTTATTAAACGGGTTAAAACCTAAACTGGTTGTAATTTTCCCCAGTTTATTTGTTATATTTTATCCTAACCATTCTGGTTTTAAAGTCATGCATACTGATTCTTATCGATCACTTTTTCAATAGTTTTTTTTTTTTTTTTTGGAAGAAACCTTGAAGATTTGAGCAGATTTTTAACCAGATTAAATAATGAAAATCATTTTCTTCAGTCAGTTTACTGTGAAACATTTTTTTTTATTATTTTGTTACGTCAAACTTAAACCACTCTCAGAATCTGTGACCATAAATGTTTTGTTACATTTTACCAGTGAATTCTGACTGTTATTTTGTTTTCTGTGAAATAAAACTCTAATTTTCTTGTTTTTTTGCTCCTTCCACCTTCATAAAATGTTTTTATTTGCAGCTGCTTCACCCTAAATGCTTTTTTTTTATTACGACTGATTCTGTTGGCAGAAAATGTTCATTTAAATGTGTAGCTGAGTGTTGGATATCTGTCATACTTCTGATTGTTTTCTCATTTTTTTGCAAGAAAATGCTTAAATATAAAACTAATAATGAAAAAAATGTTACTTTTAAATATGCACCARAATGACTTGTTTTACAATCAGTACAACTAGTGAAAACTGAGTTTAGTTTGTGATTTCATAAAACAAAACTGTCAGTTTTTTACATTTTGTATCACTCCTGCGTTCTTAGTGCCTTTGTTTAAAACAGAATGAGACCAAACATCATTCTGCACATTTCTGATTAATATTAGGATTTTTCTTTGGGACAAAAAGCCTCATGTATGATCGTAAAAGATATAAATATTTAACGGATATAAATATAACTTTAAAGCTTTTATGGGAAAATTTTAACTTGTTTTTTTTATTTGTTTTTGGCCATTATAGTTGTGCCAATGAGTACAAAGCCTGTATTTGCATCGTTTTAAACCAACAWCAAAACATGTTTGACATTAAATCTGTTCTCTGGAGAAATGATGGTGATGCTGCTGCTTCTGCAGGTGTTAGAGAAGTGATCCAGCATGGCAAAAGGAGCATGTGTTCATGTTTGTACTGTGTGTCACCCTCTAATAAATGTTATATCACCTCTATCAGCCTCGTCACGTCTCTGATTAAAACTGTTCAGAGTCGAGGAAAAGYGAGGATTGTGAAAAGTATTTCAGCTGGCCTCCTCTTAATTTGTGTTGGGAAGAAGAATTAAATTAAAGCCTGACTTAAATCATTTCTTAAATCATCATCTCTGCATGAATTTGCCATTAGTTATCCTGCARGAAGCACATTTACCAGTAGAGGTCGCTGCAGTAACCATTTATTATAATGACCCTTTAAGTTTTGGAAAAGCCACATCATTTAGTGCAGTGGGGGAATTATTTTTTTCTATTTTTGTGAGTGTCAACACTATTTTATTTATTATTAGTTTTTTTTAAAATAATACAACCAGTTAACCACCCACACTAACAGGAAGGGATGACAGAGGAGCGCCTGTGTGTAAACTTGTCACGCCTGACAACACAGACAGGAAAAAATCWGATTTTAAAACAAACTTTAAACACATATTTCTATCTTTATGAGGACTACTGACTTCCATTCATTTCTCCATTTTTTTCCCCACAGCCTAACCCCCACCTTTACTCTAAACCAGGGGTCCTGGTTTAGARGTTTCTCTGCTCCAACACGCCTGATTTGAATAAATGCAGAAAAGGTGATTCAGTCAGTTTGAATCAGGTCTGTTGGAGCAGAGAAACACTCAAAAAGCAAATTGTTGGACTTACTTATCTGAGTTACATGAACTTGGTTAAATTAATCCAACCATCAGTTTTTCTGAGGGTAGGACGCAGGGGCCCTCGAGGACCAGGATTGGACACCTCAGTCCTAAACCTAACCCAACATCAAGAAAGGCCATTTCAAACTAGATACWGCATAGCTGCAACATAATGACCCCCCCAACCCACGCACACACACCAATGTAACAGAACTCAGAGGTCTCCTGGGATGCAGGTGCATCCCAAAATTGTACTGGTTTCGGTGGGGGTCTATTTGTGCCCATTGGTTGTCCTGATGGATAGCCCTTCATCAAAGCTAACAACCAAAGAAAATCTGAAGCTTCTGTGTTTAATAGTTTTTGAGCTATAACCATTTTTGTATGTCCACATCCCCCTTTTCCAGATAAAGTGTGAGCTGGGGGCTGTTTATTTGTAAATAAATAAATAATTGGTTAGAAAACAATATAAGACTTTTACGTTTGTTTTATTCTGGTTGTCTTTATTCAGAGGGACAATTTTAAGTTATTTTTTTTTACTATTTTAACTATTAGTTTTGCAAAAGCATTTTTCATATTTAAATGGTTTTACTGATCCTAAATAGGTAGGGGGGTTAAAATGAGCGCAGCACAAAGATTAAACTGAGGTGAGCTGACCTCACCCATTTCCCAGTTTTGTTGCCTTTTCTTTTATTCAACATAGTTTCTATTACATGCATGAAACAAAATCATTTGGGGGGGTATATTTATTTTTTGAAAAACAAGTCAAAGTTACATAGAAATGAAATAGTTTTTGTATGTTTTAAAAAGTAAGGAGTAGAAAGTACAGATAATTGAATCAAAATGTAAGGAGTAGAAGTACAAAGTAGGCTGAAAAATAATTACTCCACTAAAGTATAAATAACCTAAATTTCTACTTAAAGTATTTGTACTTAGTTACTTGATACCTGTGACTAAAATCATTTCCTCAGCGCTGGTTTTTGTTCAGGTGTGAGTCGCTCAGAGGAAATGCAGGTAAAGCGTCTTTCTCTTTTGTCCTGAGCGCTAAAAAAAATAAATAAATAAAAACTACATAAAAAAACTTATCAGTGAAAGTTGCAGAAGGAGCAGCTGCAGATAAAGCAGCTGGACTCAGAACTGAACATGCAGATAGAGCCGCCTCCCGTCTTTATCTGCGGCAGCAGGACGAGCCCTCACGCCCCAGAACTGGTCCCACACCCTGACCTGGGGAGGGGAGGCTGGTCTGGAACATGTTCTGCACGTAAACAGCGATGTCAATWACTGGATGCTGTCTGAACTGGACAGGGATTTCTGGAAATATTTGAGAAAACATCATTGTAACTAAAGATGAGGCTTTATTGTCTTGTTTGTTTAAACTTTCTTTTTTTTTTTTCAGCTCATCTGAGGTCTGAAGTCTGAACGTTTCACTAAATAAAACCAGAGCAGGAAAGCTGACAGAACCTCCACTCACACTTTATYCCTCCTGCATAAAAACAGCCGTCTGTGTAAAAAGCTGCAGATAAAAYGTCACAGCAGGTCCAACCAAACTCATTTAAAAAGTGAAACATCAGCTGACACATCGTGCTGTTAAATCTGAGTCAGGATCAGCAGATTTAATCCCAGTGAGTGTAATGATTGGCTAAAAGCTGCTCGACTCGATCTGCTGCCGTTTGCTTTGAGTCACCAGAAGGTCAACACATTTGCTGTTGAATAAAGTAAAACATTCATATATATAATTGCAAAGGATAAAAACTCAGAGTTCAGGTCACAGAAAGTCAGACTACATCTCTGAACTTGTATTTAGTGGACCTATGATTCTGAGCTTGGGTCGCCTCAGGAGGGACATCCAGCCTAAAACTATTGCACAATGTTTTATGGGAGTTGCTTTTGAGCTTAACATCTTTAAAACCTTTGCAAACTTTTCTGATCAAAATGTTGGATTTGTGTCTTCTTTTGTCCAACGGGCCTCTCACTGTCGCAAGATTCATGTTCTCTCTTTTTATTTTTCTTCTGTAGACATTTCTGCTTCTACTCATCTTATGAAGAYTACTTTCAAGGATGTGCAAAGGTGGCTAATGACAGTTTCTTTTACTTGAGTTTTTCTGGGGAATAGAAGTACATTTAGGAATAGTTTTACAGCACCATACTTTTCACTTTACTTGAGTAATATTACTATGAAGGATCGCTACTCTTGAGTAAAATTTCTGAATCCTCTACCCACAGTCAGTAACTTCGCTGAATGAAGAACAAACATGTTTTAAACAGAAATGCAGCAGAGACACAGAGTTTGTGTCAGAGTGAGACCTCTTGTTCGTTCACAAGCTCTGTTTGCTGATATTTTCTATCTGCTGAACCTGTTCAGACTTTTGGACGTCAAGTGAATATATAGTAAACACTAGATATAGTTACTAGAAATACTTTACCCTGTTCTGTTAAAACAACAAAATAAAAAAAATAAATAATAATAATAATAATCTCACACAAAGACTAAACTCAGGCAAAGGGAGAAACTTTTTAATTTAGTTCCAGTAATGGTCAAAGTAAAGTTTTCTAAAACACACACACTTCTTTCTAAACGGCAGTGTGGGTGGGTGTGGACCACCGGCCCACTCAGGCAACCAGGTTGAGAGCAGATAAGAAGAAAAAAAGAAAAAAAAAAGTACTCTGTGGTCCAGCCCAGATGTCATCACGGCATGCTAATGAGCAGCGTGGGGGGGTCTTTAAGTGTCGGGGTCCGACAGTCGGGGCAGTCGTAAACCAACACGGTGCRACGAGAACATCGAGGTGAGGAGGTCCAACCTTACAGAACTGATGCTTCATTATTTTACAAATGATTCTTAATCTGAGTAACTTATCTCTGTTCCTCCTCACAGGTTCTGAACCCGGCAGGAAGCGGCTGCTCTCCGTTGTGTCTTGTGCCCTGGACAGGATATCATCTTATACTGTAAGTTTTTTAAAGAGACACTACAGTATAGATGATGTACTATCCAGGGGGTCATTCCACCTCCGGCGCCATCGGATCGGACCCCGACCAGAGGCCCATCGAGCTGCTGAGGTGGGCCGTGAAACCGTTACCATTACTGAGTTTTAGTAATGGTAAGGGTTCTACGGCCCTCGCTCGATCTCATCCAAACCACGATGGACCAAGTGAAATAAAAAACAAAACAAAACTGCTGAGTTGTTTCAATTTAATGAAAAAAATTAATAAAATAAAGTTCATGAATCATCTCTGAAACGAGTGTCTTGTTCTTTTTATAAAAACAGTCGGTTTGAGTTTTAGGGACGCCACAGTTTTCTCTGCAGAGGATCTGGCGCTCGTCCAATCACTCAACAGAAGCTGTTAGAGCAAAGAGAGCTACAGGGGGCAAAGAGAAACTCTGTGGACCCCCCCCCCCCCTTATTTTAGGCCACTGGCTGGTTATTCATAAAGAAGACCAAACAGAGTAACCGTTGATTTAAGCCACAAGCAGCAGGAGGGAACCTAATCACGATTATCTGTCCCCGTTTTAGCATCAGGTTAGTGCTTTACTTCTCCATCCATTAGGGAGACAATACAGCCCCCGGAGGCAGAGCTGGGCTTTATGAGAGCCAAAAGAGCAGAGGGGTGGTGGTGGTGGTGGGTCCTCTGGGACGGATGGCCACACGTCAAAGGGAGAGGACGAGAACAGGAACATCGGGCACGTCTGAGGGAACATGACGGTGCAGTTTATCTACAACGTCTGTTTGAAAAAAGAAAAAAGAAAAAGCTTCTGAGAGCCAAAGATAAAACCTGGGCCTTCTCCTCACTCAGCCGTGAACACAGCGTCAAACTCGTGTCAAAACATCTAAGTTAGTGGTTTGCATGAAGTCTGTGACCCCCCCTCCCTCTCGTTTTAGGGCCTGTAGGTAAAATATCTGCGTGACGGTTAAATAAATCTGTATAAAGAGAGATGATGTCATTATCTAGGAGCACGACGTCCGTCTCTTAGAGAGGACTCTGAGGTTTTAGACTGCAGACCCAGCAGAACTCATCACCGTCGTCACTAAGCTGACTTCCTCCGAGTTCCTTTGTCTTCTCCCTTCTTCAGCGTGGCGACGAGCTTGAGCGTCACCTCCCTCATGTAGAGCTTGCAGAGGTCCTCACACGCCTCTTTGGCGATCCGATTCACCATCTGGCCTCCCGAGCCGATCACCATCTTCTGAAGAGACGAGGAAGAAAACAAGATGAGGGAACTCTGTCTCATCACATACAGGTTTAAAAATTCAAGCTCAGAACTGAAGAAAAGTCTTATTAAAAGATACAAATGTGTCAAACTCAAGGCCCGAGAGCTTTAAAGATGTATTAATGTCTTTAAAAATCAGCATTGACCATAAACTACATCTCCCAAAATGCATGTTGACTATCTTACAAGCAAAATAACGACATCCCACCACTAGGTGGAGGTAAGAAACAGCCAGCTGATTAGATTCGTCATGTAAAATCTCCATTTTGTTACATATGTGCTGGCTATTTTGCTGCAGCCCAGTTGTAAGTGGGAATTTCCTTTTGGAAAGTGGGAGAGTTCAGAATTTAAGACAGCAGCTACTCACAACTTAATAAAACTCTCCTAGTTTTACTTTTAATAGTATTTCTGTATTATTTATTTCACATTTAGTCAGTTGTACATGTAGTACTTTTCAGTGTTTATAAGGCTACGTTCACACTGCAGGTCTTAATGCTCAATTACGATTTTTTGAAAAAATCCGATCTTTTGGCGTGAACGTTCACATTACATTTTAAATGTGACCTGCATCAGACTCCTGTGTGAACGCTACACAGCGCTGATGGAACCTGCATGTGCAGTAAAGACGTGACGTCTCATTCAGCCAGCTAGCATGGATGCTACTTTTTGCACGTCGAATCTCTCAGAGCCGATTAAATAATTATCTGACATGCTTGTTTAGTTCAGTGTTTATATCCGAACCTGCCTCTGACTGGGATGCTCCAGTGAAACTTTTTATTTTGAACAGAACTACGAGCTGGAAATAAACTATCGACTGAGTAACTTTAGGATCGATACGCTCCGCGACCCAGGCTGGACGCTATTATCTACATGGAAAATTAAAAGTAAATATACGAAGCAACTGGACTTCTGTTTTGGAGCTGTAAAACACATGAAGTTGCAGGTTAGTGTGTTAACGATCCTTCACCCCCTCCTCACTGATGAAAAAGTTGGATGTAATGCGGCATGAGCGTTCACACTGCAGTCGCTTTGAAAACATCAGATATGTATCCGATTTAAAACCACATACTGAAACGGCCTGGGTTGGATTTGAAAAAATCAGATTTGTCACGTTCAGACTGTCATAAAAAAAATCAGATGTGGGTCAGATGGGGCAAAAAAAATTGGATTTGGGTCGCATCTGCCTGCAGTGTGAACGTAGCCTAAGAGGATGTGTGAAAACGTTTCCATGCAGGAAATACCATGTAGAGTTCAGCCTTTCTTTTGCTAGCTATGCTCAGCTGTAGTCTTTCATGTTTAGTTGAATTTAAACCTGAAGCGTTGAAGTTAATTACAGCTGACCCACATCACATGAGTATTATGATGGCCCTCGGTGAAAAGTAGGGCTGTGTATTGGCAAGAATTTGGCGATACGATACATATCATAACAGAGGGGTCACGATACGATATATCCCGATATATTGCGATACTGTAAGCAAGGCAATATATTGTGATATATTGCGATTTTTTTGTCCAAAAATTCTATTAAATAAAAACCTCTTACTGAAAACAAAAGAAAAAAAAAGAAAAGCTAATGTTTACTTACAATGCTAATGCTACCCTTACTCTCTGGCGCTCAAGAGGTAGAGGAGCCAAATGKCTGGCTCACTGCTGCCAACTAGTGGTCAGAGGCTGAACTACAACATAAAAATGAACGGCTGGCAGGAAAGTTGACATTTTAAACCTTAATAAAAAATCGATACAGGGCTTTAGAATATCAATACAGTATCGGGAAATGAAATATCGCGATATTTCAGTGTATCGATATTTTCTTGCACCCCTAGTGAAAATAAGTTTGACATGCCTGTCAGAAAGTGGCACCCATTAAAAAGAACCAGCATCTTTCAGTATGAGAACATATATCAGGATCAGGGATTACTCAGAAAAAGTTCCACGTCATCGGTTCATCCATCTGTTTGACAGTGAGCGACCTACATCTTATTTGTCCTTTTCGGTTTGACTGAAGAAGCTAAAAAACGGTTTCTCTAAGCGACTCTTCTTTGGACGGCAGCGGCTTTAAAACATCTCAGCACAAAGATGCAGCTACAAATATTCTGCCATCAAATATGCATGGTTCTGAAGGGCTCTTCAAATATGAATAAGTTCAGAAAGAACTTGGAAACATGAGGGAAATGGCAAAAAGCCAGCAGGAGAGGCTACAAGTGTCAGGAAGAACAGGAACAGTTCACCTGCTTGCTTCATTCAGGGTGAGGAAATAAACAATGAGGATTTATAAAACGTGATGTGGGACCTGACTGATTCAATAGCAAAAACAAAATAAACTGAGGATTTAGTGAATTGTTCATGTGCACAACCCACATACTCCATACGCCATCACACTAAACCTGGGGAGAAGCTGGGGGTTATAATGTCTTGCTCAAGGACACTACAACATGTAGACATTGTGAACCTGTAACTTTCTGGTCCCAAGTCCGTTGCAGTCCCACTGCTGCACAGCCGAAGTGTTACAACAAAGAAATAATCTGTCAAACACACGTTTCCTTACTTTAGATGCTAAAGAGAAGAGTTATAATCAGAGGTTTATAGTAACTAAGTAGTATGTTTACTTCATTACAGTACTTAAGATTTTTTTTAAGGATTTGTGCATCAAGTATTTTTTAAGTCATTAATTCTACTTTTATTTCGTAACATTTAAAACCTAAAAATTATACTTTTACTTGTTTACTTTAAAATTTAACTCCTAGTTACTCGTTACAAAATAAAATCTGTTCAAACTCATCATGATGTGTTGAATTTACTCAACCAAGTCATATCAGCTGGTTCCACTAAACCTAGTAGAGTAAATGTGAGGTAATATCATATTTACTTAAAATAAAATATGTGTATTACTCAGTTTACTCAACTTGGCTTAGTGGAAACAGTTTGGTTCAGTAAACTCAAAAGTTTATTTTTCAGAGAGTGTGTAAAAGTACTTTTATTTTCTGTTTTTTGTTAACAGTTTTATGACTTTTATTTAAATACTTCACTCATCAGTTAAATTTAATTTTTACCAAAGTCATTTTCTGTTGAGGTATTTTTACTTAGCTTTTTTTTCAAGTACTTTTTAGACCTCTGGTTATAATCAACCACTCCATGAATTTACAGTATGCTGTTTAAAATCCCAGCTAATACACTTTACATCACTAGACAGTGGTTTAAACTTATAAAAACCAATAATATAAAAATTGAAATATGTAGAAGTACTTACCATGTGATTTTCTTTGCTGATATGAAGTTTCACAGAAATATCCAGCTTCCCTTCCTCTCTATCGCACCAGAGTTCGATAGACTGAAGAAAAAAAATCTTATAAATAATAACAACAAAAAAAAAACAATAAAGAAGATCAAATGAACAGCTGTGGTGTAAAGGACCAGAATTTGATGTCTCTGTGTGCAGAAGGCATCAGAGTGTGTGGGACCAGTACGGATCACTACAGCACACAGAATGCCCCTGAAGGCCGTGAACCAGGTTTACATGTGATGAGCAGRGTGACATCTGAAGGAGTGTCCTCAGTCTGATGTCACATGACTGTTGGGAAGGATGCATTAGTCACCTGTTGCACAGAATAGGGCACCTCCTCAGGCAGATACTCCAGAAGCTTCTCTCTGATGATGTTGGTGCAGACGTCCTGTGGACTCTGGTCTGTGAGGACCTCGCTGTGGTACTCCCACTCTTCTGGCTTAGCTGCAGCCTCAAAATAGCTCTAAAACAACCAAAAACAAAATAAAGACAGGTGACACAGATTAAAATCATGCGTTCAGCTGCTTCTCTACATTTGCAACCGTTCACCTTCAGCGTCTCCACGTCCTCCTTGTCCAAAGAGGACAGCATGAAGACGTCCTTAAAGTGAGACCAGCCCTTCTGCCTCCTCAGTTCCTTCAGCTTCTCTTTGCTGAGCGCAGAGGCCGACTCCCTGCTGTCCTCAGCTGCTGGAGGGTCCTCATCCATGGACGCCTCTGAGTCCCACTCGGTTATTTTTTCGGGTATTTTTTCAGCCTGTGGAGGCTTGATCACTGGCCTGACTTGTATTCTGCGTCCGTTCACCACTCCAGCCGTCAGCTGTGCTGTGATCTCCAGCAGCCGGTCTTTTTTCTTCAACAGGTCCACCTTAAAGACAGACAAAAGTCGGTGGAGATGTTCATAAAGTGTAGGTGACGATGTAAACTGAGTTATGTTTGAACTGATTTTAATGAAACTCTCAGTAAGCCATAATTAGACGTCTCTTTCTGGTCCCCACAAACCCAGCCGGTCGAGACAGATGGACGCCTGTCCCGAGCCTGGGTCTGGTGAAGATTTCTGCCTGTTAAAAGGGAGTATTTTTTCTTTCCACTGTCGCCAATATGCTGCTCAGGATGGGAGACTGTGATGAAGTGAAGAACACAACCTGCTGGTTTCCTTAGATTGTTTTTTTTTCTTTGTAGAGACCTGAGACCATGTTTGTTGTGACTTGATGCTGTATAAATAAACTGAATCAAAATGAAAAGATGTACATCACTTTCAAGACAACATTTTTATCTTTATATTTGAGTTTTAAAAAATTAAATGCCTGGGAATTAAACGTTCTAGGGGTTAAATAAGTAATTTTCATTTAATAATCAGTTGTAGTACGTTATAGTTTTGGAGAATCATCATTACGTTTCACTAAAGGGGTACTAGTGGTATGACAAATGGCTAAAGGGTACACAAGTCTAAAAAGGTTGGGAACCACTGCATTAGACAGCTGTTTTTCAATAAATAAAGATTTGTTTCAATGAGCTGCAATATATTGACAAATTTATCCACATCTGTATGTTAATATTTGAGCCATTTTCAATAATCTTCACTCTTTTACATTTAAGCTACTTGTTCCATGTATCTACTGTCACCTAATGAACTGTTTATTTAAGGCACCAGAAGTGTTAAACACACCTCTGTCATAGCAGCATGCACCCCAGTTTACAGAGAAAATACAAAACCAGAATCATGGGAGTAATTATCTCTGGTCTTGGTGGTGCAGAAGCAGACTGTAGAGCAACAACGTGTTTTCTTCAAGTAAATAATACCTTATTAAGGACAAGGATTGCTGGAATGTGTGAGTGCTCCGCCAAACACTTCAACACCTCAAAGTCGAGCTTCGTGTTCATCCATTTGTCCGACACGTCCACCATGACCACAACTGGAAATGGACACAGCTTCAGGTGAAACGCTTTGATTAAATGATAATAAAATAAAACAGCAGCTTAGGCCTCGCTGATAACTGCTCAGAGTAAAATACATCATACTCAGGTCAGCTTCTTTGACAGTGTTCCAGGGATCCACAAGCAAAGATTGCTCCAGCTTGTGTCTGCAAAGACAGAGGATCCAGTTATGAATTCAGARGACGTCTGCACAGCATGGAGACGGAATAAAACTCGTTTACTAAACAGAAAACTCACTTTTTGACCTTTTCTTTAGTGACAAAACCGGGGGTGTCCAGTAAAATCTGCACAATAAACACAAAAAAAATTACAGGAATTGGTCTTAAGCTTGGGTTCAAGTCTGCACTTATAAATGCATTTTTAAATAAAACTCTTACAATCTGAGTGTTGTTCTCTGTTAGGACAGCCAGCGAGCGAGAACGTGTTGTATGAACCTTTTTGGACACTGCAAACACCTTTAAGAAAACATACCCGAGTTGTTAGAACCATCACCTCTACATTATGCAAGTCGGGGTCCCTGCAGGATGGGGGAGTTTTCTTGGTGAGTAGGTGGAGTTTGTCCCAATCACGAATGACAGAGTTATTGGGGAGCACACGGTTTGTCTTAACCATAATTGGCAGAGTTTGGAATACAGGTGTARATTCTTGGGTRTGGGCGGAGTTTGGCAAAACTGTGATTGGATGGATTGATTTATCTTAGGGGTCAAGTTAAAATATGCAGTAATGATTATAGTAACAATATTGTGAACATTAAATAAAATTTACTGACTTAAAATTAGGTGTGACTAGCACCTTTCTGTCTCGAGTTATGACTAAAATGAATATTCATATTTAAAGGGATCCCCAATTAGTTATAACATTAGACTCTATTTGATAAACATATATTTTAACTGTAAAATTAAGACTGTAAAAATACTGTAGGCTGTTTAGTTTTGTAAATTTTTAAAAATATATTTTAATACGGACTGAGCCATTTTATTTACACACAAAGCATTCTGGGTAAATGATGACGTGGATAGGTCCTCGGTGCGAGGCTGCTAGCGAGCTATATCCACCCTGAAGGTTAATCTTGGACAAKATCTGATGATCGACTCTTTTAAATGAAACCAGAGAGCGTTGACAGAGAGGAGAAGGTAGAAATGACTCAGCCTGGAACTGAAAATATGGATGGAGGACAACAGAGCTGCTTCATGGAAGAAGAACCTCAGCTTAGCCTTAGTCTTTGAGCTAGCACTGATGCTATATTGCCTAATATATATTGTGTATGTGTTTGTATTAGCTCAGTGCTAGTGCGACAAACAAGCTAAACTGAGGTCCTCCATCCATATTTTCAGTTGCAGGCTGAGTCATTTTTGTGTTCCTCTCTCTGTCATGTGGATGGAGGACCTCAGTAATGAGAGGAGAATGTGTAGCGCTGAGCTAATACATWTATATGGTGATAGCATCAGGGCTAAAGCTAACAGGCTAAGCTGAGGTTCTTCTTCCATGAAGCAGCTCTGTTGTCCTCCATCCATATTTTCAGTTMCAGGCTGAGTCATTTCTACCTTCTCCTCTCTGTCAACGCTCTCTGGTTTCATTTAAAAGAGTCGATCATCAGATCTTGTCCAAGATTAACCTTCAGGGTGGATATAGCTCGCTAGCAGCCTCGCACTGATGACCTATCCACGTCATCATTTACCCAGAATGCTTTGCRTGTAAATAAAATGGCCCCGTCCGTGTAATATATTTTTAAACTTTTACTTTAAAAATTATAAAAACTAAACAGCCTACAGTATTTTTACAGTCTTTATTTTACAGTTAAATATATGTTTATCAAATAAAGTCTAATGTTGCAACTAATCGGGGATCACTTTGAAGTTATAGGTACTTTCTGGCCGTTTCAACTGAGTTCCCTGCAGCYGCCCAGCGTTCAACCATTCGAATCGTTATGATTTCTTCAAACCAAACCCAAAATAGTCAAACTCCTCCCATGCACCAAGAAACTCCCACTTGGTGACTGCAGAGACCCCCTTCTCACAATGAGGTAAAGAGAAGACAAACAGACCTTTCTGCCAAGGATCTGATTGGACAAWGTGGACTTTCCAGCATTTGGAGCTCCGATTATAGCCACTTTTAAAACCTTTGAATCTGGAGGCGGGTCCGGGTCTCTCAGTAACAAAGACAACTGCTTACCTGCAAATAAATGAATTAAGACAGATAATAAATATGAGGAACAGTGCAGTTCACTGTGTGGGAGGATGACATGCACTTTTGGAGCCGGGCCTGCATRGTCAGACCAGTAAATCTTTGAGGCAGCGGTCTGCTTACTGCTGTCAGTGGGAACCGAGTTTGGCAGGTGATCAGTGCTGCCGTCTGCTTCCACYTTGCTTTTGATCAGTCTTTTGAGAAACGCTTCTGATGAAATAAAACAAGCAGGAGTGAAGCTGAGGCCGTTCCTCCTGCCTCGGCTGCAGGCAGCACTTCCTGTCGAGACATAAACATCGCCATCACTTCAATGCCAACAGCTTGGCAGGAGGACTGATTAAACTAACTCTCAGGTTTAAAATAACACATTTAGATGATCCTTGTCAAGAACAYATGAATATGAATCCAAAAGACAACCTTATCTAAGTCAGTAGATCTGAGGGAAGTTTATTCTGAGCAGCGTTACACTGATAATTTAAACACCCATAAAGTGATAAATAAATCACTTTGTATTGACACAAGCTGCATATTCTGCTTTTTCCAAGTGTATAAAGGACTTCTGAGTTCTAATAAGCTCTAGATTATTTGCATGTTGGTGCAGTTGATAGAGCTGTTGGCTATCAGTGAGGTTGTCAGGTTGAATCCCGGCTGAGGGACTTTTTTGGGTAGAGCTTCAATGTTCTCTCCATGCATGCGTGGGTTTGATCCCAGTACTCTGGTTTCCTCTTACAGGCCAAAAACAAGCATGTTTGGTTAATTGGTGACTCTAACTTGTCCCTTGGTGATGGTGTGGATAGTTGTTTGTCTCTATGGTGGACCGGACAGTGACAGCTGGACATGGACACCAGCAACCCAGAGAGGGAGCAATGGGTAAAGGTAATGGATTTATTTATTTAAAAGAACTTTAACTTGGGTTAATTTATGTCTGTTTTCTAAAAGAGAACGAGTTAATATAATTTCATACCATCTTGTATAAAAATTTTTGCACCTTGCAAACATTTTATCTGCAAAAAATCCTAAATTCTGTATTTTGTTTTGACTTCACATAAATTAGCTGCTTTTAAACACACTGGAAAAAAAAACCCCGAAAACTAAAAGATATGCTTGATTTAATACAGAAATATTAAAAATATATTCTCTTTGCAGTGATAATCAGAATCAGAAATACTTTATTGATGCCAGATTGAAATAAAAACAACTGGAGATCAAAGATAAACACTCCAGGTTAAAGTAAAATAAAATATATGATCACTCAAAGGAAAAAAGCCTTATTAAATATGTACAGTAAGGTTAATTATGTATGAAAATATAAACCTCTTCATGCAAAATAAACAGTGAAATAGGCAGTCTAGCGTTGAAACTGAGAGTTTCATTTTCCACACTTTATAATTAAGACAGATTTTCATAATGACAACACACATTTCGCATTAAAAACCAATCCAACTAAAGGCTAATAAAAATTTAAAACGAATCGCTTTTTGTGGGCACTGACCCGCCGTGAGAAAGCATGACGCAGTCTCCTGCCGAGCCGACACGATGAGCCGCCTGGAGAGGACCGACACATCCCTGAACAAAACCCCGCACACCCTGAGGGCCATTAAAGCTCCGGGGCTTTTACTTTAGCGAATAAAACACCAAATACTGTCCAAGGTGAGCGACTTGATTATCTTCACGTTACTTACAGGGCGACGCCATATGCTTTTAACCAAATAGACAAGCAACATCCGGTTCAAAGAGCGTCTGTCTGAAAGCTACACCGCCCCCTGTCGACGAGCATGGTAACTGCAGGTATTTCTTATTTTGACTGGAAAATATTTTACAAACCTTGCTTTAATGGCGTTATATACAGTATTATGAATGAATGAATGAATGAATGAATGAATGAATGAATGAATGAATGAATGAATGAATGAATGAATGACCCTTCAATATAAGTTATTTAAAAATGATCAAATAAAGGGCAGATCTCCAAGAAAAAATGTCTTAGAAACAAAATAACATAAAGAATAACTTAATCATATCAAATTAGAAACTTGATTATCTCCAAGGAAGGTATTTTTATATAACACACTTAAAGTGCTACATTACYGTCGCTCCATTGAAAGTGTCCTGAGCTACTGTCTGTGTGAGTGGTTCTCTGGTTGCACGGTGGCTCAGAAGAAAGCACTCCAGAGTATAATAAAGGCGGCTCAGGACATTGTTGGGTGCACTCTGCCCTCTCTGGAGGAAGTGCACAGTAGCGGTTGCCTCCGGAGAGCACGACACATACACAGAGACTCATCACACCCCAGGAAAGGTTTGTTCGTCTAACTACCATCAGGTAAAAGGTTCATGACTGTTCGGACCGGAACGAACAGTCATGAACAGTTTCTATCAAACATCAGTTAGACTTCTGTAACTATTATGTGCAATAATGTCCACCAGACACTTTGATATGGCTGCTACTGTTTTTTAAAACATATTTTATCTTACTTTTTATTCTATTTTTACCTCTTTATTTTATCTTTTWTAATGTTCTGATTTATTTGCACTATGGGAGCTGCAAAATTTTGTTGTTCATTGTCTGTGGACCGCAATGTGCTTTTCAGTGCAACAATGACAATAAAGATTTATCTTATCTTATCTCTCTTAAAAGCAACATAATACATCGATATGCTTGGCTTTCTTCTCTTTTCCCTTTATTTACTTCTTTTATTCAACCACTTCATGGACCTATTCACTGGAAACATTGTGTTGTTTTCTACTTTTCTGCTGATGAYAGTCAAATTTATACCCCACTATTACAGGAAAAGCAATACCTCATGCATCAACTCCCAGAATGCAGTGTATAAACCAAAGGATTTGAATATTTTACATTCTAATAAACAAAAAACTGAGATATTGTTGTTTAAGCTCAGTGATGCTTCTAAAATCCAGGCTGATCTGAGTACTTTAACACAATATCTGACTCAGACAGAAGAGACAAAGTCCTGCAGCTGTATAGGTGGAAAAAAAAAGTTGCAATCATTACATTTCTGCCATGGCCCCCAGGCTTGTCTCTTTTATTTTCGAGGGCTGTCACGACAGACGGAAGCCATGTTTTCATCTTCCACCTCCTTGTTCTCCATTTTGCTCCTGGCCTACAACTTAGACACCTTCTCTTTAGCCTGTATGGATCTGAGGTCCTATCCAGGCGTCACTTGACCTTTGAAAAGCTGAGTGAGCTTTCCGCTCTTCTTGTAAACAACCTTCATATTGATCAGAACACATGCTAAGTGCTGCAATTACCTGCAAGTAGTAGACTTTGAATAAAACGTTGAAAAAACATCTGCTTTCATTTGGCTCTGAAAACAAAGAAAGAAACTTAAAAAACGTGTGTGGGGGGATTACCTATTATCTCTAACAATCAAGTTACYTTCATCTGTTATGAAAATGCTGTCTAAATGCCTTGAAGTTGGCCTCTGTCTCTTTAAGAACTTCCTACCATTTCTGGCACTCCCACTTCAGCACGTCTTCAACTTCACAACATTGCTTTGGGGAAGGAATGCTCTGTGGGGCAGAGCTTGGCTGGGGACTGAGCTCCAGGGAGGAGCTTTGTACAAATATTACTAAGACTTGGCGTTAAAGATGAAAGATTTAAGAAAAACTTGCAACGYGTGATTGTATCGTCTAATAATTTAATGACAGTATCAAATAGTATAAACTCACATTTCCCACTAATCTAAACCAGGTGTGGGCATCCAAAAACACTGTTCTAATACTGATGTTGTGTTCACTGATATTGAAATGACGATAAACTTTGATAGGCTAAGTTTGAACAGCTGTGGCAGCCATCTTGAATCAAGCTGACTCCAAAATGTAATCAGTTCTGGATGTAAAACCAGTGATTATTTTCTGAGAATTATATTGAAATCCATCCAGTGGTTTGTGAAATATTTTGCTAACAGACAAACATGGTTGACTCGAAATTTTTTGAACAAAAAAGTATGTGTGGGGGACAATGCTCAGCTACTACCACACCAAATTTTAGCTCACTCTATTTCAAATTGGTTGAGTTGTTGCCGTTTTTATGTCTTCTAAGGTCAGTCGGCTGTGGCGGCCATGTTGAATTGGGGTGAGTCCAAAAAGTAATCAGTTGTACATTTCATTAAAGTTCTTTCAGCAGTTGATGAGGTATTTTGCTAACAGATGCAGACACTAGCATGGGCTAAAGTGACATTGTCCACCTTCAATAAAAACTCATACGTAATTACAAGTAAAAGGTACTTAAATATTTCTGATWAGGAAACAAACCGTGTTGTGCAACATTTTGCAGCAAATCGTTTGCAACTCCCCGAGGAGCCCCTGGGCCCCCCGGCTGGGGAGCCACCTGTCAACAACAGGCAGGACATTCAGAGACTCAAACAGCCAACAGCTACTCCAAAACAGCTCATCGCAAAACAAAACCACATCTGCCGACACCGTTTAAACGGATGACAAGCGCTCACGGGATCTCTGGGCGAGGATGATATTCTCTTGATTATTTTTGCGAGGGATGTGGTGCCTGTGAGCACAAATCAGATTGGGCTCCACAGACTTTCTCCCTCCGGTCCCCACTGAGTATCCAGAACAGAGCTTATCCCCGGGGGTGCCCGGAGCACAGTTGTGACAATGTTGCTGAGGATATATTGAGCATCGGTGCTTAAAGCAATCTGCCAACATGAGGGAAAAACACTGAAAGCTGTCAGACTTGCTCCCTGCAACCCTTCAATACCAATTCACAATGACAACCTGCTGTAATGACTTTATAACAGCCAGGTCTGTGAGGGTAATCATTGGAGTAAATGGACACAGTTTGCATATTGATTGATTACTGTAACATGTTGTTCCCAACGTGGACTCAGAACCAGGCGGAGCAGATGTCCCCCCGTTAGTCCATCAAACATGCCGGCTGTTTGTTAAGTCCTGGAGGACTTGCTTTGCTCGGAATGAACACCTCCGCTGGGGGGGGAATGATGAAGGATATCAGGTAACTCACAATCTGTCATCATCTGGCTCTAAAAGCTGCAGCAGCGACGCAGAAGCAACAAAAAGATGGAGCTTTTAGCCGACACTTACAGCTGAATTCAACCAGAAACCAAAAAGGATATTTGAGGATCAGTAATGTTTGAACTTTTCCTACATCTGCCTCTCTCTCCCACTCTGCATCACTTAGATTCATTCAAGGCCCTTTCCCCTCCTCTGGGCTTTCCTCACATGGCCACTTCACGTGGGAGTGGATCAGAGTCGTTTTCTCTAACACCATTAACTTTGGCCTTCAGAGAGAGCTCTCCACCACTCCCCTACAAAAACCAAATATAAAAAGAAAAACCAGCTGGATGCCATTTTGTGAGAAAACGCAGCATGAATGGTGGGTGCTGAATGGCTCTGCTGAAACATCTTTAAAAATTAAAGCTAAAACAAGAAGAACAGAAGCTAAATTAAGCAAAGCATCAGCTAAAAATTAAAGCCCTATAGCTAAAGGTTTAAAGCAGCAAAATTGTAGCTACAATCTAAATGTAACATTTTAGCTAAAAGCTAAAATAATCAACATTAGCAAAAAATAGCAAAACAGTAGCTAAAAGCTAAATGCGTAAAAATTATTGATCACAAACAAAGTTAATCAAATCATCGCTAAAAGTTAAAGTTGGCAAATCTATAGCTAAAATGTCAAACCAGTGAAGAATATATACTCACCGGCCACTTTATTAGGTACACCACGCTAGTAACGGTTTTGTGGTCATAAAGGAATAGGCATGGTCAGCAACAATACTCAGGTAGGCTGTGGCGTTGCAACGATGCTCAGTTGGTACTAAGGGGCCCAAAGAGTGCCAAGAAAAGATTCCCCACACCATGACACCACCACCACCAGCCTGAACCGTTGATACAAGGCAGGATGGATCCATGCTTTCATGTTGTTGACGCCAAATTCTGACCCTACCATCCGAATGTCGCAGCAGAAATCGAGACTCATCAGACCAGGCAACGTTTTTCCAATCTTCTCTTGTCCAATTTCGATGAGCTTGTGCAAATTGTAGCCTCAGTTTCCTGTTCTTAGCTGAAAGGAGTGGCACCCRGTGTGGTCTTCAGCTGCTGAAGCCCATCTGCCTCAAAGTTCGACGTACTGTGCGTTCAGAGATGCTCTTCTGCCTACCTCGGTTGTAACGGGTGGTTATTTGAGTCACTGTTGCCTTTCTATCAGCTCGAACCAGTCTGCCCATTCTCCTCTGACCTCTGGCATCAACAAGGCATTTCCGCCCACAGGACTGCCGCTCACTGGATGTTTTTTCTTTTTTGGACCATTCTCTGTAAACCCTAGAGATGGTTGTGCGTGAAAATCCCAGTAGATCAGCAGTTTCTGAAATACTCAGACCAGCCCTTCTGGCACCAACAACCATGCCACGTTCAAAGGCACTCAAATCACCTTTCTTCCCCATACTGATGCTCGGTTTGAACTGCAGGAGATTGTCTTGACCATGTCTACATGCCTAAATGCACTGAGTTGCCGCCATGTGATTGGCTGATTAGAAATTAAGTGTTAACGAGCAGTTGGACAGGTGTACCTAATAAAGTGGCCGGTGAGTGTATGTGTGTAAATTACTAAAGCTAAATTAAAAAGATAAACTTTGCAAAACTGTAGCTTAAAGCTAAATGTGGTAAAACAGTGGCTAAATGCTAAAATTAGCAAGGCGAAAAGTCTCACAAAGTTATTTTTCATTACAGCTAAAAGCCAA